GCACGCGGCTCTTGCCGCGCATGCGCATTCGGATCTGACGTCGGCAGGGCCGTCTTTAATAATGAATGGACCCTGGGCAAGTGTTTGCTTGGGCCCCCTGTGCCCTGCCGCTCTCACCCCTCACTCCCTGGTATGCAATCACGGCATCCATCCCAACGCAGTGGCGGTACTAAAGTAGAATGAATTTTATTGGGACCCCCAATTGCAAGGTTGGACTAAAGGTAGAACCCCATCTGTCGTGCAACTCCAACAATGCTTTGACAGCTGGGACTCTACCAATTTCCCATGCTTGCAGGGTTGTATTTAGCACTGAGCCATGTTAGTATGTTTTAATGTAAGCATGTGTTTGTATGGAGTATGTTTGTGTGAATGTGTTTGTATGTGGTACTGGAGTTTGAATGCAAGTGTGCATTTATGTGTAGTGTTTGTTTTTGAATGTAGGAGTGTGCTTGTATGTAGTGTTCACGTTTCAATGCAGGAGTGTGTTTTATATGTAGTGTTGAAGTTTGAATGGAGGGGTGTATTTGTATTTAAAGTTGCGGCTCAGATGCACAGGTACACACTCTGACGCACAAGCTGATACACAGATACATACACTGACTACATACAGATAAACAGGCACATACACTGACAGACACACTGACACAGGTACATATATTGACACACACACAGACACATACACTGGTAGACATACTGACAGACATACTGACACAGGCACATATACAGACATACCGACATACTGACACACACACACAGACACATACACTGATCAACATACTGACACACATACACTGACAGAAATACTGACACCCACACACTGACAGATATACTGACACCCACATACACTGAGAAATACTGACACACACACACAGGCACATACACTGACACACACAGACTGATATACTGACACACACACACAGACATACTGGCACACAGACAGATATACTGACACATGCATACACATGCACTAACAGACATACTGACGCACTGACAGACATACTGACACATACACATACTGACACACACAGATATACACACATATATACTGACACACAGACAGACAGACATACTGACACACACACAGACATACTGACACACACAGACATGCTGACACACACATACACTAACACACAAACACAACACACACATATACACCAACACAAACACACACACACCACACACACCAACACACACCAACACACACACACACCCAACACACACACACCAACACACGACACACTAACACATACACACACACACCAACACACATACACAAACATACACCCAACACACACACACCAACACACACCCAACACATAAACACACACAAACACACACACACCAACACACATACACCAACACACATACACTAACACACACATACACTAACACACACACACAAACACACACACACAAACACACACACACACACACACACACACACACACACACACACACACACACACACACACACACACACACACACACACACTAACACACATACACAAACACACTAACACACACACCAACACACAAACACATACACTAACACACAC